ATTTTGTAGAGGAGAGCCTGTTGATCAGCTCCCCCTTGCTTCTGGGGGGCAGTAACCCCCAAGGAAGACACTGGATAGTGTAATCCTCTGCTCTACAGTTTCCAAGTCCTACTTAAAAAAGTGAACCCATCTCACTTCTTTGAACCACACAGCAGCATCCCTGCCTGGTGTAGCAGCTCCGATGCACTCAGCCCGCGGGCTCACAGCTCCTGGGGACAGGCCTGTGGTGGAGGGGTGGCAGGCAGGGTGCGGGGCAGGGCACGGCAGGGCGTTGGACAGCGCCCTTGGTCTCTGTGCCTCAGGGGTGATGATGAAGGTGCTTTGAATGTGTGCAGTGCCCTGGAAACACCCATCCAGCTGCCCCCACTTGGAAGTCATGCAGTCTGTGCTGAGAGAAACCTTTGAGGACAGCTGCTTGTTTCAGGGGAGAATAAGGTGCCTGGCTCACTTCAGCTGTACCCTCGTGCATTTTGCACACGCACGTGCACACACACAGTTTCTGGTTTTATTATTTATACTTGTCTGACCTTGTTAGTAAACTCAGATTTAGTACAACCTCGAGGGCTTCTGTATTTGCTTCACTGAAAGCTCCAAGTTTGTTTTTGCTGAAAATCCTAGCAACATGTAGAATGCCTTTAATTGTTCTCAATAAGCACTATGTTGAAAATCGAGATTGCTTTACATTTATCATATCTAAAATCTCAGGGTAATTTTCCTCCTTAAGGATATGTATATATCTACACATATGCATCTGAGTATGAATATATATTCATTTACATTAAAATAATTATAAAAATCACTATGCAGAATGAATTTCTGGTATGCATCTAGAATGATGCTACCTGTTACAATTACATTGCTGTATTGTGCAGATCCAAACAAAAACTTTAAAAAGAAATATTAGGAAAATATTTTTAGGTTATCGGAGACTTTAAATGCCTTTAGCCAGTTACATTTAAGAAACATCAGTTCATCGCTTAAGAATTTACTTTTAACTAGGAGAAGCTAAGGTTAAAATTTATCTGAGAAGATGCGTAGTTGCTGTCTATGACGTAGCTGTCACCAAGTGAGTTTATGGAAGTGGCTAATTGTCCATGTACAAGCCTCATTTTCTGTGCTGCTGGCAGGCAGATAGTTCAAGTTAACAATAAGCTTATTGAAAAATTTACTGCTATTCAGATGTGTTCCTATTTAAACCTTTCAGCCAGAGAGAGTCAAGAGTCGATCTGCATGCATCATTTTTACTGCCTTTGCCAAGAATTATGTGACCACATGCCAAAACCAACACAGCCACTTGGAACGGGCAGAGATCACAAGCTCTTGTCCTTCGGTTTGGCCCCATGCTGCCTGTGTTCAGAGGACGTGAAAACAGCAAGTTGGTGTGGTCAATAAAGGAGCTATGATGTCAGGGACAGTTAATAAGGGAGGCTTCCCAAAGGCCACATGGGAGGGGCACAGTTACCGACCTTGCTGGAACACGGGATGGTGCAGAGCAGGCAAGGGGAGTCCATCAGTGGCCGCAGGCTTGTGGAAATAGGCATCCAGCCAGGCCTCGCACTGCATCAGGGGCTCTGTCATTCCTTCTGGACTGCTGGGAGCCTCAGGAACTGCTGGGGCCTCCGTGGGGCTGCACAAGTGATAACAGCGGCTTAGTAAACCTCTGGGCCCTGCCTCCACACATGTCATAAGCTAATGCCTACTGTATTGAGCTGGGGAACATGGCCAGCTACTCCCTGGGTGCCTGTGTCCAGCGGCTGCACAGCAGGCCTGAGAGTAGAAAGACAGACTGGAGGAGGTGCGGGAAGAAAGATGCTGTTGTCTCATCTACTCTGCCATCTTCTGCCTTACAAACCACAGGAAAGGCCCAGAGTGTGTTCTTTTGCACAGGTACTGTATGAAGTACAGGGACGTGAAAGAACAAGAGGCAGACACATGAAAACAACTAAGTGTGTTCTCTTTTAACAGTTATAGATGGCATTCCTGCAGCCATGATCAAGTATTCTGCATGAAAAATTTCTTCACAAATCTGTACTCTCCATCCTACGTAGCCTAAATTCCAGCAATGAAGAGCACAGCCCTTCTTTTGGGTGACTCTGCTACATGTGGGAGAGACAGAGCATGATCAGGCCACATATTGCCAAGCTCTTGAGTGGCTGGTCCATGTAGGAGACCCCATAGGGGGCATGGCTCTTCAATAATAGGACTGGCATGGCTACTTCTCTCTCTAATCCTCTTGGCTCTTTCTAGTCACTGCCTCCCCTTTAATGTCTGGATGTTTAGGTGCAAACATTTCAGAGCAGCTTCAGGTTACTCCTTCGTTGCTTTAGCACAAATCACCCTTCTGTATACTTGATTTGGCTTTCACGGAGCCCCCTGCTCATCTTCAGCCGGGTCTGCCTTCTGAGGCTGTGCGGTGAGCCAATGTTCCTGTTAGAAGCCTGTCTCTAGGCTCAGACCCTAGAGTTCCGTGGCAGACCCAGTACTTCCATTTCCTCGGGCCCTACATGCATGGAGCACAGCCATGTCAAATCCCCATGCCAGATCATCTTGGGCTCAGGTCTTCTGTGAGAGGAACTCAAGGGACTTCTGCAGAGCCCAAGTGGTGGGGTGGGTTGCAGGTCAAGTAGGCAGCAAAGACGAGGGCCTCCAGGTCAAAGTCATGACTAGCGTTCGTGACTTCTGAGGTCTAACGGTTAGCTACCAGAACACGACAAATAAGAGTTTCCTCAGAGAAGCCAACTTTCACTATGGCAGATGGGCATTTCAGAGTGAGAGGCAGCAGCTTCTGTACCCTCCAGTGACCACCGAGCCTCCAGAACTAATGGCCCTTGTGTAGAGGAACCTGAGTGCGTGGGCACATTCGATGTTCCCAGCCACGCCCATGCTGGTGGCCTTCCTGCCACCTTGCTAGGGGATCTGAAGTATGAGCTGCACTGCCCACCATTTCCCTCTCTTAAAAGGATATGTGAAGAATTTTTATAGTAGTAAAATTCATCTTAAATTGATTTTTTATGCTTGTGCTAAAGATCTCACCTCTGATTTACTCTGTAGTTCTCCTTTTTAACTCTTTCTCTATTGGCATTAGATAACTAGTCATGGGTGAAATGTAATTAAACAGCTTTGATTCCGAAGCAAGGATTTATGAGACTACATTTAAAATGAATGGCATTAAACACACACATAAAACCAGATTTTTAAAGCCATGACACAAATTTCCATTTCTACAATAAAATGAAATTTATTCTCCTGCCCTGCCCTCTTCTCCAACCTCGCCTGGCTCGTCCCAGGAAGAGCTCTGGTGTGACAGCACTGCTAACAGCCGCTGTTATGATGGAGGAGTTTCTCCAGGATTCCCCACTGACGACCCCTGCAACTCCAGTAATTACCAGCTCCATGGCCCACACTCTCTTACATCCCACATCCAAGTCTGCCAAGTACCTCAGCTGGCACTTAAATGCAAACCCCTGTGGCCAAACCATGTCTCCAGGAATGCACTATGGCATGTAAACCCAGACAGTGCCCCTCTAGGCATCATCATGGGGTCTGGGCCAGGATGCCAGCTGGGAAGCCAGCACGTCAGGACAGAAGACTCTCGCCCCAACATCCATGGGGACTGTGGAGGGCATACCAGGTCCCATCTTCCTAGTCTCTCCCAAGAGGTAAAGCTTTTGAGTGGAACCCTTTTTATTCTCTTTAACCCCATACTGTGGTGCCTTGGTTCATGAACTTCATTCTGTCTACAATTCTAGTTGCAAACTAAACTGGGTAAGAACTAAATAAAATTTCCCCAAAAGGTCAACATTGAATCTAACCACTGAATTTGATTTAATTCTCACCGAACTCTTTTTGCAACCAGAATTATGGAAAGAAAGAAGTTTGTGTACTTAGGTACTGCTGTATAGGAGGATGACTAGTGGCTGAACAGGGACCTAGCTTCCTTGAGCTCTGTCCACAGGAGACCAGGATTTCTCAATGAAGCAAAGAAGGAGTCACACATGCACAATGCCAAGGATTTCTTGAAGAAATTACCAGCTGTTGGCTACCTCAGGATTCCTTTAAAACAAGTAAGATAACATTTCATTGCCTTCAGTAGAAGCTCCTAGAATTCTGGTGCATGGAATGCCCTGTGGTAAGTTCTTATGCAGCTGTTACCCGACAGCAGTGCCCTGGCCCATTACACTTGCTGGATCTGGAGAAAGGATGGCCTAGGGCAGGATACACTTCTGATTTACTTTGATTAAAAACATCGCTTTCCTTGAATCCTACCAGCACAGAGACCAGTGGCTGAAATCGTGACAGCACAGACTCCTGACATGTAAGTAAGTGAGGTAGTTTTTCCGGGGAGTGGACTTTCTGCCTGGCATAAAGCTTGTGTTTTAAGATAGGGTCACAGTCAGAAACACAAAGGAAGGGCAGCATCAGACCTGGGGAAGAGGGAGATTGGAAGGTGATTCTACCAAGCTGAAATGAGGTGGCTCCAGCGGAGGGCAACATCCATCCGCCACATGGAAGTTCTACCTTGTTCTAGCCAGTCTTGGCTACAGGGTGGATCACGTCAGTTAAATACCAAACAGAGCCAGGAAGAACAAGGTTTTCCACTACAGATGCAGCCAGGAACTCCCTCAAGAGACACGACAGTGTGCCAGGACAGTCTTGCTTGGGTCTAGTGCTTTATGCACTGCCATGTGCTGGCGTAACAAGAGGGAGGCAGAACGAAGCCTTCTGCCAGCCCATCTTCTGAAGCTTCCTATTTTACAGATACACTTAGTACTTTATACCCGGCTTGGTGGCAGTCTTGGATACTCGGACTCTGAGGGGCAGCAAGGCTCCAATGGCAGCATAGAATCACAAGAGGCCCATTTCTCAGTGAATTCTACTCCTCCGAGACATTAATGTATTTGGCTTACATCCTACTTCATGTAAGAAAACTGGCTACAAGTTTATAATTTAATCAGATCTGATTAGCACCATTAGTCACACCCACCAAGTAGACTATGGAA